TTGAGTTTACATAATTACTGATATAATCAAACATGAATAGTCGGTTCGAATTCGTTCAAACCAAAACATTTTTTTATAAAAATCGTGAACAATACAATACGAAATATCTTCCCAATATTTAGCAGAAATTGGAGAAATAAAATATGACAATAAATACATATTTCAACACTTTTTCAATCAACTACAATTATACCACCAAATAACATATAATATCTAATATAATAGCATTCAATTTCGGTCATGTCTCTGAGTGCGATGCTTCAATAAGGATTTGTAGGTTGGACAGATCGTAAAGTGCAGTCAAAAATGGTTGCTAATCATAGTGATATAAAGATGTCAACGAGTCAAGCCAAAACTCGAATCTTGTGCTTGACTCGAGTAAAAATGGTTCGAGATTTTTTTTTTTCGATTCGAAGAGAGCTTTTGGCGAAAAATCTAGGTTTGACCCAAACTTTTGGCTCGAGCCTTATTGAGTTCAGATAGCTCGTGATTTATTTATTATTATTATTTAATAAAAAGAGGCAACAATGCCTATTGCAGGCAACTACGCATGCTCTACGTGCCTACTTGTAGCTATATGTTGCTACCAAAGATTTTTTTTTCTTTTTTTTAATTTGCTCACGGGCTGAAAATGGCTCATGACAAGGTTGGCACGTGTAGCTCATCGAGACACAAGGGTTGGCTAGGGCTCGGGCTCGAGCTCGGGCCGACGCTCCAAAATGAAGCTCGGCCTGAGCATCAACTCGATAAAATTGAGCCACAAGGCAGATTCGCTTGGACTTTTCTCGAGCCGAGCCGTGCCACTGGCTGCTCGAGTCAGCAAGCTAAATTAATATCCCTAATTCAATTGTTCAAATGAACGAATCTAATCGAATAAGACAATTACTATTTGAGTATTATAAACTTGCTACTTGCTAGACCTTGCGGACTTTCTATTTGTTGATCAGGTCATTTGATCAGATGAATAAGTTGTAAAGGAATAAAAAGGACAAATTTTGTTTTAGAGCCGATTACCCATGTCTTGGGTTCTAAAATCAAGAATCGTCCATAACTCGATGATTCTCAATTATGATTCTTTTTTTGGGTGGGGGGTTCGAACAAATATCCGATTTTGATCAAAAAGTCCACGCATATATGAGTTTAAAATAGTCACCAACATGAGGACTCGACAAATTTTTATAGAAGTATTTATGTTGTATTTTCAATGAGATCATATCACATATAAGATGTAATTATGCCACCAATACGAGGACTTTATATATATATATATATATATATATATATA